CTTGTCTCAGCTTTAGCACTACTGAAGAATAATGACCTTGGTTACAACATTGGCTCAGAATGCCTTAAAAAGCAAATTGTTTAAGTGCACGTAAAGCATGATTTCATGAACAGCTCCTCCTCCCACAGCCTCCTCTGGACTATGAGCTAAGTAAGGGGAGAGAACAATTTTTTCTAGCTGTGAATCTTAGCCAATATTTCTAGAGATAATTTAGAAATTTGATATATATATGCCATTCATTATGTTTCTTTAAATTTAGTGTGAATCTTAATATGTAAAAGTAGTTAATGGTTGGAAACTGGCTTTATTGTGATTACCTTTATTTATCTGCGTTTTTTGCTCTTCAGACCAGATGAAAATGGTGTGAATATTCTTATAGTGCTCATGTTTCGATACCCATCTACTGATAGTGCTGAGCGAATCAAGAAAAAAATTGAAAGGATTTTATATCAAAGTCTGAAGACAAAACAGTTGCCTTTGACTATAAACAAACCATCATTTACACTCACATGTAAGTCCTTTTACATCTTTGTGGCTCTCTCCCTTTGCAGTCCTCTTTATTTTTCATAAGAATTTAGGTCGATGTGTTCTTTCATTTCAAGAATTCACCCCTGATGTACATGTATCAGTGTGGAATAAAACTAAATAAAAAATTCACATAAGGCAAAGTTTAGTTTTATAATTTTTTTTCATATTTGACTTGAGCATTGCTATGGTTTTAAAAATTTCCCCCATCTATTAATTATCATGTTGGATCTTTCCAAAGCATGAAAGGGTAGGTATTGTTTTTACCATTTTAAGGAAGCTAGACTCAAGGAAGATGTCAGACAAGGGAGTAGCAAGCACTGGGGTCAGAACTAAAGCACAGGTACCCTGACTCCCAGGGTCTTCACAGGTCAGTTCTGGGGGTTAGTTTCTATAGTATCAAAGAAACAGACGTCTTTATGAAGGTTGACCCCTGTTGGAAGAATCACTGACATGAACTATAAAGAGGTTTTCTAGATTATTTCCAATTTAAAACAGGTTTTTTTTTCCATCTCCTCATTGATTTCTCACAACATAAACTCAAGAAAGTTGTCATTTTATTTTCCCCTCAAAGTGGAAGAAAATGAAGTTTAAAAAGGTTATGAAACTAAAACTACCTCACAGCTAGTTGGAATCCAAACTGAGAGGCCTTTCTATTTTTCTGTGCCAACACACAATTAGAGAAAGTAAAATAATGTCTTTCAAGTAAGATTTCAAGATTTCAAGGTCAGGGATTGTGTCTTTTTATTTTCTTACACCTCTCCCTAAACTCTAGCATGTGTCTCACAGGCAATAGGTGTTCCAGCTCTATTCACTGCTCCCAATTAAGTATTTCCAAGTGCAGTTACTTCTGACTTAATATCAAAAAATGAGGCTTGCCCTTTGGACCTAGAGTCTTTTCCCCTCCCAGCCGCCATGAATTTAAGAAACAGATTGTCTAAAGTTAATTTCTCTGTCATTAGAAATCAGGAATATCCTTTGAATACATTTTGAGATAGAATCCCCACACAGAATAGTCTTCTTCAATGAAGGAATCAGAAATAGTGAAGAGTATGGTATCCACCTTTATTATTAATCAATTATATTCCAAAGGAAAATGTGATATTTTCCAGCACTCTATAAATGGTAATCTCAAACTAAATCTCGATCCTGAGAATATAAATGCCCCTAAGGCAATTACATAAGCTAAATATAAGCATGATTATGTGAGCTAAAGTAAAATATTCACTATAAAAAAGACGTTAAAATTGTAGAGTTCCTTATTTTATAATTGTTAAAAGTAATTTTTCAGCATTTTTAGTGATGTATACTGACTTTTTATTATAAAGGTTGTTTTAATATCAAAAAAACCTGTATTTTTTGACTCTCCCCAATAACTAAAATTCTACTGCATATATTTTCTTCTGTCACATACATAGCTCTCACTAAATATAGAGAAGTGAAATGTCCAGGAAACTTCTTATAGGATTTGGGGCTCATATCCTTCTCATGGGAAAGTCAGTATTCTTGAGAAAATCATTATATATTTTTCTACTTTCTTTCTAACAAATAAAACAAAGCAAACACCAAACCACCCAACATCCAATGAAACTGAGCTTAAACGAACACTAAGATATGTTTGAAGGGAAAAAGATGTCACACAGGGAGGCATAAAATGGAGGGAGAGACTGTGCGCTTGGCTGTATATGAGAGTCTCAAGCCTCCAGTGCCTGCTGCCTGAGCTACAGCCTTCTCGTATTCACCATGAGGAAGAGTCCTCCGTGAGAGAAGGCCATCGACCTGCAGTTACTGAATTCCCACCCTTTGTAGACAAGGGCCTGGAAATTGGGCTGGGAGGGGTCTGGGATGCCTTTAGCTCCCTACAGTTACCCTGTCAACAACGGCTGCCAGGCATATGCCTAGCGCACATAGGCCAGTACACCTGATACAGTGAACACGGATTATGACGGGAATTGGAGATTGCTTCCTTGAGTTATACTGGAGCTCCCAAAGAATGCAATCAGGGACATTTATCTTTATCATTCTTTCCTAATCCTAATTTCTTTCTCTGGTTTCTTAGCAAAAATCAGAAAATAAAATGCTCTCTTTTTATTTTAAAGTAAAATTATACATTTTGGACCAAATCAGAGAAGAGGGATATTTATATGTTACTTGGTTATGAAAAATACCTTGAAATGTGGATGCTATGGATAATAAGTATTTCTTATAGTAACCATTTGAACATCACATGAAAATAGGAACATATTCTACCAGCTGATTTATGCTTTGTATATTCCAGCTATTGACAGCAAAAAGATGCGGAATCTTCTCAACAGCCGTAAGTCGCGAAGCTCACACTTAACTGACCATTTCACAGCAAGGAAAATGAATAAAAGCCACAGAAAGTTAGACGTAGAATTTACCAAGTTTTTTTGAGGAAGTATAATGGGTTTAACATTGTATAAGTTTCAAATGTACAACACTTACCAGCTGGCTGGCCTCCAGCAATTTATGTTCTGACTACAAGGCTGAGTTTTCCCATATGAAAAATGTTTTGATGTAAATGTATCTAAAACTCTTAGCAGAGGATCTATACATTTTTGATGCTCAATCAATTCATCCATATATGCTTTATGTAGAGACAGAAGTTAATTCTTGGATTGGATGACTTTAAATATTAGTAAATATTTCTTCTGAATCTCAGTAGGAGAATTAGGACCCCTACAGCATAACCCCAGAGACTGAGCGCTTGGAATGGGTTAAAGAGTAGCAGGTGCAATGGATGGTCCAAGCATCTGTACCCAGTGCAAGACAGGATGTGCTTTTCTCCCTCCTCCTTTTCATGAAAATAACCTAACATATATTTCTGTGACAGGCTGTGGAATAAGGATGACCTCTTCATACATGCCATTACCAGCATCCTCTTCTACTGAAAGGATTGTCCAAGGAATGGAAACAGCTATGGAAGGGGAGTGGCCATGGCAGGCCAGCCTGCAGCTCAAAGGGGCGGGACATCAGTGTGGAGCCAGCCTCATCAGTAACACTTGGCTGCTCACAGCAGCTCACTGCTTCCGCAAGTAAGTTTACTAGAGCTGTTGTGTGTCTTCTTTTCTCAGCTGGTATTACCATCAAATTTAATGCTTGAGAAGCGTCCAATCTCACCAGCTTATCCTCTGCTCCATTCTGGATGGACTCTGTCCCCTAAATGCATTGTGGTTGCTCTATGCCCCCATCATCCCCTCACCCTTCTCTCAGTATCTATCATGTTTGGTTTGCATTAATCTTGTGCCTCTTAGCATATATTTTCTTGTAGCATCACGATACTAATGTGATCTTTCCTACTATATCATAAATTATTTTAGTATAAAGACTGCCTATTACATATGTAACATGTTTAAACTCCTCTGTATATTCAAGGAGAAAATTCAGCCACTTCCATTCTGGTTTTTAAAAAAAAGTTAATCTCTCTATCCTCCAGCTATCAACATCCACCATCACTTTATAAATAAGAAAAAGAAATCAGAAGTATCACTCTTAAGGCTCTCCCTTCCAACTGCATTATCCAAGAACCAGGTGGGCTTATAACGGACCAGAGAGGTGTGTGGATGGTGGGAGAGACCTGCCGGCCTATCTCACTGCCCTCACAGAATGGAAAACTGGTCATATGCACAATGCAACAAATGATTTCTGCTTGGGCTTTCACAGTTACTGCTCTTAAAACTCAGCTGCATCACTTCACATTCACAGACATGCACAAGCGTGCTATTGTCCCAGAAGATCAGGGATACACTATCTTTCCTCCTTGAGGTTTCACCAGCAATATACAGAAAGTTTCTCCTTTTAAATCCAAAAAGACCAAAAGCCCTGAATAAAGCCCTGGCCAGTGGCACTGCTCACAAACCCTTTCAGAGGAAGCTATCCTTGGTGAGTCTAGGAGGCACTTGATCATCCTTGTAAGGGTAACACCCAAATGGTTCCAATATGCCTACACCTTTATTTGTGGAGTAGATGTGTAATGAGAATGACCTAATGAATTTAAGGTGATTGTCATTCTCTCATCAAAGAAGAGAAAAGGAACTCAGTTATACCTATTTACAACCCTCCCAAATACCCAGCATCATGCATTAGGTGAACTCGAGTCTCACTAATTTTTCATGACTTTCTGATTTTTTTCATGTTCATATAGTCCACCAGTCTTCATACTTATTTTGGGGAGTGTCGTCTATTTTAGTTTATAACTCATATTAGCTCATATAAATTAAAAATAAATAAGCCTAGAATGTCAACACATTAGTATTTAGTGAAGATAAGCTATAATGATTGAGATACATGTTCTGGCAGGTCCAGTGCAATCTCTGTGTGCTGGCAGACCTATATGGGGATTGGTCATTAAATCTGATAAAACAGAGATAACTTATGAACTTGATAAAAGAAATTGTGACATGATGGGGATGGGAATGAATTGAAGGGATAAAAGGAGAAGGACTGGATGCAGTGAGTTTAGATGCCACTTTCAAGGAGTTTTTTTAATGAATGGGAGGAGAGAAATTTGCCAGTTGTGGGCGGCTGTAGACTCAAAGGAAGAGTTTTTTTTTTAATCTGAGAGATGTAATAGCATATTTTATGCCAATAAAAATAATAATACTAATATAAAAGAGTTGGGAATAGTAATAATCCTGGAGAGAAAGGGTTCAATTTTGGGGGTGATATAATTTCATGTAATTGTATAACGCAGTGTACTGCCGTGAAGGGAAAATACAGGTACTTTGAAACAATATTACAGTTATCCAGTGGTTTTAAAATGTTTGTGTTTTTTCCCCTACAGAAATAGTGTATTTTAAAAAATCATGTTTAAGACAAATCTTATACCTTTATGTCTATGAAAAGTTATTCTAGTCTTTATGGAACAAGTGTGGGGGGGTGAGGAATCATGAGACCAAGGCCATCTCTCTGACACTAACCAGCTGGATCCGTCACTTATCTGCGCAAGCCAGTTAACTTCTGAGTCAGTGTTCTTATCCACAAAGCATGCTGAACTAAACCTATTACTTGAGTCTTCATTTCTGGTTGAAAATACATAAAGCAACGGGTATTTCTGTTTTGTCTACTCGGTTACACTCCTTAAAGACGGAAGTCACATATGTCTTCATAGCTCCCAGAATTCTAGTATTCAAATAAGTACTTCAGCCCTAAGATTTCTATTTTAAATCAAACCTTTCTTTAAAGTGTAAATAAGTAAAACAATTGAGGTTGGAGCCCTCCCCCACCACCTCCTGGTCCCTCCGCCCTGAGGCTCTGACTGCTCATCCCTGGGGCAGTGCAGAGTACTTTGAAAACCACTAATCTTTCAGGTTTTTCAATACACGTAAAAGTTTATGATTCACCAACATACTAATCCTACATGAACAAGGAAATTCTCTTTTTGAATTCCCTTCTGTGTGATTTCCTTCTACATAATTTTCCTCTACAAAGAGAATTTCAGGTTTCTATTTATTTCTAGGCATTCTTGATGGGGATGATTAGATAAAGAGGGAACTGGGCTTTGGAGAACAGGGAGGTAAAAAGATAATAAGAGTAAACAGACTTTGCTTGTGATGTAACTTTGTGGTAGAGAAAAGCATTTGTGTGAAGGGAGAACCTCAAAAACAGCAAAAGGGACTGACCAGGCCAGATTAAACGGCAGTGGGAGATTTAACAACATGACATTGAGTTAGGGCTGCTCAGTCCTTGAGTACTGGGGAAGGGCATGGGCATTTCGTGGAGAAACAATCCTGTGTGCACATGAGGGTTTGTG